AGGACCATGTGCTGAGTCATATTTCAATAAATGTAATAATACTTTTGAATCAACAACATCATTAATAGCAACAACTTCAACATTTTTTATCCAACATCAATCTCAAAACTAATCTACCAATTCTACCAAAGCCGTTAATAGCAATTTTGTAGAATGTGACATTATTTTTTAACTAATAATTTCAATTATATAAAAACTTAAAAACAATCATTAATTTTGATTTTTTAATCACTAAAAACAACTTTTTAATTCTGTTGATGTATTTATAAAACTTAAAGATACACGAACAATTTTGTGTTTGAATTTTTTTATATTTTTGATCAAAAGAACAAGATAACCCCGTTCTAACAACAAAATTATGTTTTCCAACAAAAAAGCAAAGTCATGCGCAGTTATCTTTTTTATCTTCAATAAGAAAATTAAAAGAGTTTGTATCTGTATTAATTCACTCAACATATTTGTTTTCATGAGGGAAGTTATTTTTAAAAAAACTTAAAAGCTTTTGTTCATTCTTACATCTATGTTTAACAACATAATTTACAACTTCATCAAAACAAATGTTCCAAGCAGATAAACCCTTTCAATCCAATTCATAATTATTGTTTTCTAAAAATTATTTTTATTTATACCTATATACCGTGAGTTTTCTTTACTTAACACAACTCCAATCCCGTTTGGACCAAAAAACTTATGTGCTGAAAAAACACAATAATCAATTTTGTTATCTAAAAGCTCAAATCGTGATGTTGGATAAATTGTGTTGCATCAACAATAATTAAAGGTTTATGCTCAAAACACAAACTTTTTATTAGTTCGTTTCAAGAAATATAAAAACCATCAATATTTGAAAATGCTGAAAAAGCGAGAATAGAATTTTTTATTTTTAATTTTGAGATGTTCTTTAAATCAAAAAAGCAATTGGTCATTTTTGTCTTTATGAATCTTTAACCACGGTAAAACATTTGATAAATGTTCGCTTTTGCTTAAATAAATAGTTTTTTTTTTATTTCGGTTGTTTTAGATATAAAGGAAGCAATTTCATTTATTCCACAAGTTGCATTAGGAACAAAAGATAATTGATCAGTATTTGAAGATAAATATTTAGATAATTTATTTATTAAATCTAAAAAAAAATCTTTATTTGTTAAAGGGCCTAAAGAAATTAAGTGAGAATAATGCTCTATAAATTTAAGAGGTTTTATAGAAGAGGAAGCGTCAAAATATATAAATTTAGGTTTTTAAACATTTATAAGTTTGATGAACTTGTTTGATTTAATTTCGGAATTGATTAAGTCTGTCGCGAAATCAATCCCGAATGTAAAGTTTGTATGACATATTGTGTTTATGCAGTTACTATGACTATATTCAAATAGATAATAAAAAATACTAATAATCAAATTCTTCCATTTTTTTTATACTTTTTTTCCCTTAATTTTTGTAAGGTACTTTTATCCTTGTTAAATTCTCTGTTGTACTTAACCAAAGCAAGCTCTGCTTTGATTCTGTAGTTTCTTAAATAAAGTTGTGATGGTATTAATAAGTACTTTTTTTCCTTTACCAATTTAGTAATACGTTTAATTTCTTGTTTGTGCAATAAAAGCTTTATGAAACTAGATGTTTTGTCTAAATTTCTTAAAAAAATCTCTTGGTCTTTTATTCAACCATGAACAGAATCAAGACTTGTATGCCTTTTAATATAGATTTGACCAACAAAGAATTTAAAACCAAACCACACTCATATTTTTCATAAACAATATACTTGCGCATATTTTTTTTGTTATCAATTAATTTAAGAATTTTGTTCAAAGTCTATAGTGCTCTTACAAATGCAAATTCTCCACTATCTTTTAATAATTTAACAAGAATATTGCTACCTAATTTCAGTTCTTTATTTGTTTTAATAAAGGTTTCATATATATTTTCTACCCTTACTTGTAAGCCTGTTTGATATCTCCCAACAACAACTCCTGCATATACACTTTTGTTTTATTTCTTAAATACTTAAAGATCTTTACCTTATTTACTGTATGTTCCGCCTCTGAATTCTTTATCTAGCAAGCAGTAGAGTTTGTTGCTATGAATGTCAAATCATCTTTTAACCTTTGTACTTCTTCTTTTTTATAGTTTTCTGAATCAAAAACAGTCATTCAAAGCAATTTATGAACAATAAGATCGGGTAGTCTTCTGATTGGGGAAGTGAAATGTAAATAGTTGTTTAAATTAAGGCCGAAGTGAAAGGTATTATTTGTTGAATATACTGCTTTTTGCATGCTTTGTAATAACAAGCTAGTAAGTAATTCTGAATTTTCATTACTTTTATTGCCATTAAGTCATTTATTTATGTGGAAAATTGTTAAGTTTTCTAAATCAACTCGCTCAGAATAAAAATTCAATTCTTTTGCAAAAAACAAGAATTTTTAATTTTCTAATGTCTGGATAATCGTGATATCTATAAATTGTTGGTAAATTATTGTTGGTGAAGTAATTTCCAACAATTAAATTGCATAAACCATATATACCTCAATCATTTTTTGTGCTTCATCACATCTATATTTAATAATTCTTTCAATATCATTGTTTTCATTTAATTGAAATTTAAAGCTGGTTCTATTGACATTTAAAAACCCTTCTTTATTTCTTGTTACTTCTAATAACTTAAAAGCAGTCATAAGCATAGTGAAGTGCTTTTAAAGTTTCAGGAGTAACATTTTGTAGTTCTGTTTTATGGTTGATATAGTGGTTAATTTCTTCATAATTAAATCTTTTTCTTGATTTAATAATTGCGGGAAATATTTTGCAAGTATCTTCTCTTATCTTTCCGTTTTCAACCAAAAAGTTAACTACTAATGTGTTTCTTTCTTAGTTTTCCACTAATGAACATAGATTATTGGAAAGCTGAAAGGGCAACATCGGTATTACTGAATTCAACAAATAAACAGAAGACCCTCTTTCTAAAGTTTCTTTAGATATTTGAGGACAATACTTTAAATAGCTTCAAACATCAGCAATAGCAACAAAAACAGAATAAGTGTGGTCATTTATTTGTTCAACAGTTATTGCATCATCAAAATCTTTTGAATCTGTTGGATCTACAGTAAAAATTGTTTTCAATAAGATTTACAAACTTTTTACTTGCTTTAAATTCCTCTATTTTTTGAAGTTAGTTCTGCTGCTTCTTTATTTATTTCTTCTGAAAATTGAGTTCTTATATTTAAGTCTTGAACTATAGATTCAATATCTACATTTATTTCATCTTTATGACCTAAGCTGGACAAAAAGGTTCCTTTTAAATCATTAAGTTTGAAGGAATCTATTGTTATTAAGACTTTCTCGCCTAAAAAGCTTTGGGGTGATTTGTGATTTTTACTGTGTTAACAACTTTTTGTTCTCAAATCTTCCAACTATAAATTCGCCTGTTTTTATTATTTCAACAACAAAATTTAATTTATTTCTTCTTTTGATTGCAGTTACTTGCCCTGTTTTCTTTATGAAAACTTTTGCTAGTTGTGATTTCTGCGAGCATCAATAATCTCGTATTCAACTAAGTCTTTATCAAATGCATCAAGAATATGAGTTAACTCAAAAGTAACATTATCTTTATCTATAAAAGCATATTTATTGGACAAAACACGAATAACACCTATATATTTTCTCTGTAATAATGTGACATGAAGATTTATAGATAAAGGTTATAGAAAGGTTTGTTTGTATAAATCTTTTATTTATTTGGGCATTGTCAAAGAAACAATTAACAAACAAAAAATTAATAACAACATAAGTATTTTTAAGATTTTTACAAACCCATAATCCTTGGTTTTTTTAAATATCTCTAAATCTTGTCCGGATAATGCTGCTATACCACGGTTGAGCCCGATCAGACAACATCAATCCTATTAAGAGTAAAAAAACACTAATTGTGTAAATAAAAATATATATTCCAGCCAAATGCTCAAAATTAAATATTAAATTTAAATAAAAAACTATTATTTTTTTATTTCTTTTTTTTTGATTATTGCAAAAAAAAAAAAATTAAGTATTTTTATTTGTTAAAAAAATAAAATTTAAATCAATAATTATTCAATAATGGCCAATCAAACAAGATTTGTAGAATTTTTAATAAAAAATTTACAAAAATAAAAACCGCCTTAAAACAAGTTACGCTTTGCACTCTATTTAAGTTATTAAAGTTTTTCAAATTTTTTCAAACCAAAAAAAAAAACATAAATTCAAACAATGAAAACTTACTGATAATAGAACAAACAACAGTGTGAACAAATGCTTTTTAGAAGAATTGCACAACTCTAAAAGCAATTAATTTGTTGTACAAATGTTTGAAGCTAACCCAGAACATCTATTAGAAAGTAAATCTACAGAAGAAATAAAACCATTAGAAGAAAAAGTTATTGAAGAAAAAATACAAGAATTAAACCAAAATTCTTTCCTGAAGAAGATAAAAAAGAAAAGTTAAAAAAATAACAGCTCAAAAAAAAAAAAACAAAAACTAAAGAGGTTTAATAGCTTTTAAGTCTTTAACGTGGTTGCTGAAATTATTCACTTTTTCTTTAGTTTGTGCAACAATATGGCTATTTTGTTGTCATGTATTTTATTTGTGCACTACCAAAAACAAAACCACCAGTAATTAAAACAATAGAAAAGCTGTAAAAACAACCAAACATTTTTATTAATGAAACATTACAAATCACAATAAATTATTTAGGTTTGATTTCTTTGTGTTTGACAGATTTACAACACTTTTTACAATATTTATTTAACTCCAGTTTATCTGTAGTGTTTTTTGGATTTTTTTTGACAAATAGTAAACATAGCTGCACTCGGTGCATTTAAAAATAATGTTTAATCTTGGCATGTTATAAAAAAGATATGAAAATGTTTTTGTACAATGGTGGCTGGAGGCAGAATCGAACTGCCGACACACGGTTCTTCAGACCGTTGCTCTACCCGACTGAGCTATCCAGCCACAATAGCAAATCTTATAATGGCGGGCCTTACGGGATTCAAACCCGTGAATCTCCCACAGTGACAGTGTGGTGTGTTGGGTCAGCTACACTAAAAGCCCTAAAATGGTAGCGGGGCAGGATTTGAACCCTCGACCTTCAGATTATGAGCCTGCCAGGCTAACCAAACTGCTCCACCCCGCGAGATGTGTTCCATTGCTTATATTAAATGAAAATAAAATGGTGGAAGCTGAGGATTCGAACCCCGCGCACTTTTGATGCCTCTCAGTTTTCAAGACTGACCCCTTCAACCACTTGGGTAAGCTTCCGTAAAATGGTAGCAGGAATGGGGATCGAACCCACTGACGTTCGGGTATGAACCAGACCCTCTGCCAACTGAGGTATCCTGCCAATAATATGGTCGGGATAATAGGATTGAACCTATGACCTCCTGGTCCCAAACCAGGCGCTCTAACCAAACTGAGCCATATCCCGAACTAAATTAAATATTAAATTAAAAATTTCATATAAATAATAATGGCCCGCTAAGCAAGAATCGAACTTGCAACCTTTAGCTCCGCAAGCTAATGCTCTGTCCGTTGAGCTATTAGCGGGTATTGGAAGTGTCTATCAGACTCGAACTGATGATATGGAGGTTGCAGCTCCATGCCTTACCAACTTGGCTAAGACACCGAAAAATAATTAAATTACTTACTTATGTATATTAAATATTGGTAAATATTTTCATAAGGAATTGGCTTTCATATATTGTTTTTATTAATTGAATTTCATGTTTGTATGGAGAGATTAATTTTTTTGAATTAATCATTTCAATTCAATAAGGTGTTTCAACAATAATTGGTATTGTTGAAATATAAGGATCATTGGCCCATAGCATTAATGTTTCAAAACCAATGTATCCATATCCTAAATTGGCATGTCGATCTTTTTTAAACCAATTGAATTCATTGAATCACCAAGATGAATTAATTTGATCCTATGTATGCCAATCAATTCATCAAACTCTTTTAAAAACTTATCTTTGTTAGCTAAATCATAACCGGCATCATGTAGATGGCATGTATCTAAGCAAACAGCGAGTTTTTATGATTTTCACAACCAACAATTATCTTTTGTATTTCAGATAATTCTTTACCTATTTGATTTTTTTTACCTGCCATTGTTTCTAAACAAATAAAAAAATCTAAATCTTTTGTTTTTCAAGAATTATCTTTAAATTATCCACAATATATTGAATTCCTGAGTCTAAAGTTTGATTCACATGAAAACCTGGATGTAGAGCGATCAATTTAATACCTATAGCAACACTTCTGGTTATTTCATTGATTAAAAAATCAATGTTAAATTGAATGTTGTCTTGTTTATTTGTTGCTAAATTAATTATGTATGGAGCATGAACAACACAATGAGAAAAATCTATATTGTTTGTTTTTGCCAACGACTTTAGCTTCAGACAAAAATAATTTATTTACATTTACTCGCTTTTATTTTGCGGAGGTCCAGTAAATATCATAAAAATATTGGCTTGATTGTCAATAGTTTCTTTAACAACACCCAATAAATAATTATTAGTTTTGTTTAAGAGATATGTGAACCTATCAATCAATTTTTATGATTCATTAAGAATAGACAAGATTATTTTTGCACCAATGGTCATGCATGATTTTCTGGAAGCGAATTTATTGAATTTTTAAAAGAAAGAAGTTGTGTGCTAAAAAGAATACTTCTTTTTTATATTATTGGTCATGCATAAAAAATCATCAAGTATATTTATTGCTTCTTCTTTGTTTTTGTCTTGTATCTCCAAAAACAAAGCATTAACAACAGATTTAGACAAAATACAACCTTCATGTTGGAAGCTCATGTTTTTATTATTGGCTCTATTTGTTTTATATTGATAATACAAACATCGCCACATGCATTAGAACCTAATAAATCTTTTCTTTGAGGATCTATTTTTTTTTCTTAAAAAAATTGTTAATTTTACTTAATTTGTAAACTAAAGATTTATTCATTAAAAACAAATTTATATTCAAAGAACTTTTGAGATTCTTTGTTGTTTTGTATGTTGTCATTATCTTACTGTTCATAATGAATTCTTTGATTGCAGCAGAAAAATTGGGAGAAGCGGCTTGTTTGTTGTTTTATAAATTTTGGACATTATTTTTGTAAAAGAATGTTTCTATATATTTTTAGTATTAATAAAAGTAAGGAATAAATAAAAATGGAAAGAATCAATTTATATGCTCATTTGTTAGCACGATGCATTTGCATGCTTTTGGTTTTTTTAATGAATTGATCTAATAAAAGATAAAAATCAATGAATTTAAAAGTTATTTTTGTTTAACCAAGTCGAATATGCAGTAGAAATGTTTCCTTTAAGAGTAAGTAAAGTGGAACAAGTTTATCAAGTAAAAAATCAACAAGTACAACTAAAAGTAAAAAAATAAAAACTAGGTACAGTCAGTAGAAAAATAATGAGAATGAAAAAAATTGTGAAGGTTAAGAAAATTTATAAAATTTCTTGATTTGTAAACACTATATAAAAAGAACAATAATACTAAAAAAAATTATAGAAAAATATTTTGATAAAAACTAAGTTAATTGTTTTTTTACTTTTTCTTTTTGAAAAATTAACAATTAACAGATGAAAACATATGTGCAAATCGATGAGAATGATTGTGGAATATCAGTGACTCAAAGCTTAATAAATCATTATTATGGCATTGATGTTTCAAAAAGGCTATTTATAAATATGCGAACATAAATTCTTGTGGTCTTTCAATATTTGACTTAGAAAAATTAAATAAAATTTTGGTATTGAACTTGAATCATTCGAAATTAATTTTGAAGAATTTAAAGAATTAAAAAATAAGGTATTTTATGTAACTTTAGTTAGTGTTTGTGGAAGAAGTCATTATGTAATTATTCAAAAGTTTAAGAATTATGTATATGTTTTTGATTCTGCCAGCGGTACTAATAAGGTAGATTTAGAAAGCTTTAAATCTGTTTTTTTAAATGTCATCATTACCACTAAATGTATTAGAAAAAAAAATAAAACAAGTAGAAAAAACTGGTGATAATTTTGTGTTTTTGACATTAAAAAACTATGTTTATTTTTACAACTGATGTATTGATTTTTTTCTGTTTTTAATTGGCATTTATTTAAACAAAAGTATTTTTACGGATGTTTTACAGGTGAATTATTTAAACAATTTAGGAATAATTGTTTTTTTATCTTTTTGCTTTATTTGTTATGAACCTTTGCGAGCTTACAAAATCATTGTTACAGTCAAAAGTAAAAGGAATATTTAAAGACTTTATATTCCAAGTTGTTTTTCCTTAGAAAACAAAAAAACTATTTTTATAACAAATTAGGAGAAAGTAATTTTTGTATTTACACCAACATGTACAAAACATTGCTATTTTTATTTCTGAACATTTGAATATCTTTTTGATGAATGGTTTTCTATTGTTTGCTTAGCCTTGTATTTTGTGTTTTTCAACCATATTTTTGCACTTATTGTTTTAATTTCATTCATCTTGCAAACTGTGTATTGTTACAAATCACAACAAATAAAAAAGAAATATTTTCCCGAATTAATAAGACATAACAATGAGCAAAAAAGCTTTTCTTTCAACTTGATTATTTTTTTAAAGAATGAATGGAATAAAGAAAAATTATTGCATTTAAATTATCAACTCAAAAACAAATTAGTGAGCGAAATTAATTACGAAGAATCATTAAATTTAAAAAGCATAATTTTTGAGAAAAATTAATTTTTGCTTTTTCATTTAACGAGCTTAGTGATTTATGTTGTTGGTTCTTACTTATGTTTTTAAAAAAATAAGCCTGGATAATTTAATCACTTCTTCTGTTTTATTCTTTTACATTAACAAATCTTTCAATAAGATGATGAAATTGGCTTTTTTATGTTGTTTATAAAAAATCACTTGAAGTATATAAGAATTGAATCAATTTGGAGACTTTTGAAGACTCTAAAAAAATTGCTTGAACATTTCAAAAAAAGTAAATATAAAAAATTTGACTTATCACAATGGAAAAGAAAATGTTTTTAATGATGTCAACATCAGTATTT